CGAAGAGAGAGAGAGAGAGAGAGAGAGAGGGAACTGGAACGATAGAAGGCAACCGATACGGATGGATCGTTGCATGAACGAACGATTCTTGAGAGAACATCAACAGGGAAGGAAGTTCAGGAGCAGCGAAGAGAGATCAGCTGAAGAGAGGCTTCTGATTTGTTTTTTTTTTCTTCTTCTTCTTTTTTTTAGACAAAGCTTTATAAGAAGGTCGAATAACCTTAATGATGTTAAGGGTAAAGGAAAAAAAAAAAAAGAGAGAAAACGAGGATTCGGCCTTCGTCAGCAACGAGAGCTTTACTGACATTACTAGATGGTTAAGATAGTAAAATTGTTGATCGTCCGCCGACGAGTGGAACACTCCACCGCCCCCATGCGCCCCCCCCCCCTTTTTCCTGAAACGGTTCGTAGACGATCATCCGCGATATCAGGAGAGAAAACTTGGACTGAAAAGAAGAGGACCGAGAACTCCGCGCTGACGGGATGCTGCTGCGAGAGAAACATTGTCAGAGAGAGAAAGAGAAAGAGGGAGCAGCTTAGGTAAATCGTAACCTTACGAGGTCATCTTCTTGTTTCTTTCTTATTAGAATCATCGTGCTTACGTGCTTAGTCTTTAATGGAAATGGAAAAATGAAAAAAAAAAAAAAAGAAAGGATGAAATCTTTCAATGGCAGGATTACACGGTCAATCGTTTACGCGTTATCGGATGCCGGTCGTAAATGGTCGTGAGATATCGAGATCGTTTTCTCTCGTAACCTCGATGATCCTTTTTTTTCTTTTTTTTTTTTAAATTTTTCTCACGCTAAATCACGAGCGATAGCGTTATCGATCGATTTCGAGGGAACACGATAAATCGGCCGATGATTCATCTGGATCAAAAATCAGCCGAGATTCGCGAAATTCGTCGCCTGTTTGATCGAACGATCACGTACACACCGACTGTCGTCTGATAACCTCGCTCGTTCGAAAGACGAGACCCGAGAACGTGAGAAGCGGTAAGCACGCCGAAGACGAGACGATTAAGAGGAGAGGACGGAACGTCTCGCGGCCCCCCAAAAAAAGGGTGAAATTCCCCAACTCGATCCGATATATACGTTTTTTCGCGATATAGTATACACCGAATACTCGCATACCGATATCCGCATCGACGTTGATCCAATATTTGATCCACATATGAATTTCCACGCGGTTTTGGAGTTGTAAGCATCGAATACGAGTCTGTTTGAATGACATACACAGTTTCAGAACCGTGGTGAGATCAGCTTCATTTCTGTCTTGTTCAACTTTTTTTTTTCGGTGTTTTTTTTTTTTTTATTACAGAGATCCGATATATTTTTTATTTTAGAGCGGATACCAAAGTAGTGAAATGAAATTATTATTACGTTAAGCTGTATTTATTAGCTGTAACTAGTCACGGTTCTAGTCTTGTTTTTTTTTTTTTCTTCTTCTTCCAAACGATCGTGGCTTAATCATGGACCAGTTATGAATATTTTGAGTTTCCAATGTTGGAGCAACGTTCGAACGAGATATATAGCATTCGATCGGTTCGTTTGTTTTTTTTCTTTTTCTTCTTTTTTTATTTCTTTCTTTCCTTTCTTCCTTTCTTTCTTTCTTTCTTTCTTTTCGAAGGAAATGAGAATATCGCACCGAAGCGTACAACATGTTAAATTTGTTTAATTTCTCTTCTTCTTTCCTTCTCATCTTTCTTTTCTGATTCTATCTTCTCGTTCTTTCCTTATCCTTTAGCGAAACAAATAGATCCATCGTCCACCTTCTTTCGAAATTACGAGACGAGAAATACATATTTGAAATGTTATAATGTTGTGATGCAAATGGTCGCTCGTAAGGGGTGGATAAAATGGTAGAGTCTCGAGTAGGACGAGAAATTATATCGATTATAAAAAAAAAAAAAACGACTGATTAAGTGATTTTTTTTAAAAGAGAAAAATCGTTCTTCCGCGAGCCACATTCGCGTTATGTAATAATTTATTAAGTATACGCTATTAAGTATCGATTCTTACTATTATTATTATTATGTTATATTATTATTATTATTATTATTATTATTATTATTATTATTATGTTATATTATTATTACTATTATTAGATCGTTATTATTATTATTATTACTACATCGTTATTATTATTATTATATTTTTTTCGCGCTTGCTATTATTATCATCACTATTATCAGTAGTTAGAGTTTTCATCCCGTGCCCCCTTCTTTGTGTCATCACAAATCTCAATCACCCGACATTTCGCGCTTCCACGTCCGTACGTTATTTTATGTTTTGTTATTTAATTATCGTGATTGTTACGACATTTGTTAATTTATTATTTAAGATTTTAATAATAAAAAGCGACAAATAAGATTGTTCTTTCTTTGTGTTTCATCATTCCTTTTTGAATCATTTTTGCTTTATTTTCTTTTTTTTTTTTTTTTTTTTCCGTCTTGAAAAATTCACCCAATGAAAATACAATAGCCGTGCATCAATCGAAAAATAATGACCGTATCGAACAGCCTTGACATCTCTTATCGTTCATTTGAGCCGTTATCACAATTTATTTATTTAGAAACTGTATCGAGTGATCAACAATATGATAACAACGTTGCAACACTTCGCAATAAGATCAAGCTATGTATAAAATACAAAACGAAAGGATTAAAATGCTTAATAAATTGTTATTATTATTCTCAAATGAGATTAACGAGTTAATATTTCTTCTTGATTATTTATAATCGAATGTAAACGTGATGTTACACATTATAATCGTATATATACGGTATAAAAATATTATCATTAATCGAAAGAATTTCTTAAACTAAAATGATAAAATGAACACATAGCGGTAGATATAACGTGTTTAACGTGTAATATTTAAAGGGTTAAATTATCATAGAACGATTTAATTAAGGAACGACTGGAAAAAAGTTTCGCAATCGAGTCCTTCATTAGATTCTAAAAAAAAGAAAAATTGTTAAACGTTTAAAAAAATTAGGAGTATTTCCTTTGCATTGATATCTCTATCCGAAGAACGACGAAACTACGCTTCTTCGGATACAGGATTTTTCAGATCTATCATTTTTTCTTTCTCCTCTCGCCAATTAACAATTCCCTCCTCCTCCTCCTCCTCCTCCTCCTCTTTCTTCTTCTTCTTTTTCGAAAACATATCCTCGATTTCCCTTAACGTTTTCCCTTTCGTCTCAGGCAGGAAGAACGTAACGAACAACGTGCCCAACAACGACATCACGGTGAAAAACACGAACACACCTTGCCTGCCCATACCGGCTTCCATGTCCGGATAAATTTTCACCGTGATCGAGCTGAAAATGTAATTGATACACGTGGTCAACCCCGTCAACGCCTCCTTCACCTTCGTGGGATACACCTCGCCCACCATGGCGAAAGGGATAACCAAGAAGCCGAGAGTGCTGCCGAGAATGTACATAAGTATGCATATAGCTGGGACGAGGCCGTTGTCGTTCACGCGATACCCTCTGCCCTCGATCGATAAATAGACCGACAAAATCCCCATGAAAATGGTCATCGAGCATCCGGAAACGATCGACGGCTTCCTTCTGCCGAATTTGCCCGACGCGCACGCGACCAACACGCTGCCGAGCAACCTGGTCAATCCTATCAGCACCGCTCCCAAATTGGGATCTATGGTGACACCGGCGCTCTCCACTATATCAACGGCATAATAGACGATGACGAAGATGCCAGAGAATTGTTGGAAGAAGAAGTAGCCGAGCATAACGGCGAACGGCAGAACGGCGTTCCTCTTCAGCAAGTGTTTCACGAAGTTTTGATTCGGTCGCTGGGCGGGACGTGGGTTCAGCTCTTGATACAAGTGTTGCGGGGGCGGCGCGTCGTTGGGGACGCCGCGGAATTTCTTCAACACGTGTAACGCCTCGTCTAGACGACCTCTGTCTCGCAACCAGATCGGGGTTTCTGGGACGATGGCCAAGGTCAGTGCGGCCGAGACCAGGGGAAACAGGGCGCAGAGCAGAGCCACCGTACGCCAGTTGTCCTTTAGAAAAGAAAGATCGAATCGTGTGTCGAATTTCCTCTAACTTTTTCAAAGGCGAATTCGTGGATAGATCGAGTGTACATTTTGGAAAATTTATTTTATTTTAGAGAGATCGAGATGAAAGTTTGCTCGAGAGAGGGGCGATATATTTACCTTCAACGTGTAGCCAAAAATGTAGACGATCAAAACGCCAATAGCGATGGTTATGCTGGTCCACGTGACCATGGTCGATCGCCATTTTGGAGAAGCGATCTCCGCGCTGTAAACGGTGGCTGGGACCGAGGCCATTCCGGTCGCGATTCCGGAAATAATTCTGCCCACAAGAATCTGCTCGTACGTTCCGGCGAGATAAATGAGCAGCCATCCAACGATGGACACGATCGACGTTATCAACAGGCTCAACTTTCTTCCCCGCCTCATAGTGTAACCAGAGACAATGCAACCGAGCGGGATGCCCAGTGCTGTAGCTGTGGCTGTGGATTTCCAACGATTGAATTTTTTTTTAATTTCAAACGTGTCCAATTTAATTAAATCCTAAGAAAACTTACGATATAATAAAATTAAATTCTTAATTTCTCATCTCTCTTTGAATATCTTAAGTTAAGAATATCGGATTAGTATTATCAATCGAGATGGAGAAAAAATAAAAATGATACCAACCGATCCAATTCGCTTGAACTTTGTCGATTCTCACGTCGCTACTAGGTGCCATCATCGGTTCCAATGCCACTGCGCTGTAACCAAAAGCCATGGATGGACCCAGAATCGAAGAGTTCACGCAGAGAACCATCATTATCTGCAAACGAATATTTTTAGAATATATATTTCATATGTATTGCGAGAGATATTAATTGCAAGTTAATTCGAAAAAGAAAAAAAAAAAAAGGAATAAACGTTTGAAACGAGTTAATTAATCTTTTGATCTTAACGAAGTTATCCTATAACTTAGGTTCGTGTTACATAAATCTTTTGCATTTGATTCGCGATGAAAAAATCCGTTTCCCATTCCGTAATCGCGTATTATAAATTTTAATTAATACCCGATTAACTGCATAATTATCATATATATATATATCATGCTATAAAAGAATTTATTACTTTTAATTGTTAATCATAATCTATCGATAATCGATGAACGATGACATCATTAAATATCATGGTTATCAATTCAAATGATTATTACGTTAATAATCTGTTAGCTGTTTCTTTGAGTAATGCCGATTAGAAGGATTAATGGATTCTGATAGATAATTCTGACTGATAAAAAAAAGTGAAGATGATTCAAGTTTTTTCTTTTTTTTTCTCGATAAAACTTGTTATCGACAAGACAAACATTTCCATTTTTTTATTTCAAAACCAAAATTGACATTTTCTGAATTCTAGGGTCGATAATTCTCGATCGATCGGTAAAATCGATTCGCTAGAATTTCAAAAATTATCTTACGTGAAAAAAAAAAAAAAGAAAGATTACGAAAGATCGAAGAAATGGATGTATGGTTCTAGCATAGCATATTCCCCCGCGATTTTATGCGATTGTGAAATAGATAAAATATGAAAGAGGGCATAACGAGCGTGTCGAGAAGCAAAGTTGAATAAATGCCAGTCAATCGAGGGGATTTTTTTCCCAAACAACCCTACTATCGCCGAGACTGCTCTTATATGACCAATATCGAAACCGGTTTGGGATGAAGGTTCACAGAGAAGACGAGCAAGACATCCGGAGGAATAATTAAATCAAGCCTTGAAATGTCACCAACAAGTTTACGTAAAGCAGCAGCGTTAAACGATAATATTTCGAGTTACGCAAAACTCTCTCTCTCTCTAATACACTGTATATCTTTGCTAAGTATGCTAAGTTATTTTGTATATCTGCACTAGTTGTTTAGCATATTTATATAATTGTAAACTATCTTTACATTCTTATAATTGCATACATTCAAATAATTACGATTCTTTATATTGTTCGTAGTTGAAATTATATTTGTAGTATTTGTATTTTTATTCGTTTTCGTTATCAATATCAAATGTTTGTTAACAGCAATTTTTCATCATAGAAAAATAACTCGAAAATATTATTGCAATATGATATACGAGTTAAAAATATGATAATTATATTTTACTTATATCTTTTACGAGATCAACGGATAATTACGAACAACTTCGATCGAGAAAAAGCGAATCTATTTTTTATAACAAACAAAAGGCAAAAAGGTTTTACTAATTTGTGGATAGATATCAAGTATCTTGTTTAATTCGTTGCGCAAATAACAAGTTTGGAATTTTTTTTTTTGCATAGAATAGATCTCTAGATTTTTTATATTTCTTTCGATATTTCTCTTCTGTTCGCGAATATTCGTAATTCGATCCGATAGAGGAATTAAAACACTGTTTTCGCATCTGATACAATGTTAAAGAACATCGATTCGTATTTTTTTCTTTTTCTTTTAATTTCTTCAGTCACAACATTTTTGTTTCGATTATTCGAAGAGAGCAGAGGTCTAGAAAAAGTCTGCTATAATATCCCAACAAATGTAAATCAGTCAACATGTCAAAACACCAATTGAGAAAATAATTATAACTTATTAATAAATTTTTATTAAATCAATAATACATTGAATCTTTCAATTACAATGAATGATATAATAAACAGTATAATAGTAGACTCGATGAATATTGTTGCGGTATAAATATATCAATCGTAAATAATTGAACTCGATACGATTTTATTAATTTTTTAGGAGGACGACCAATGGATCAATTACATTATTATTCACCGCTTGCAATTCGCAAATGATTACTATTAAGTAAGAACAAATAATCGTAAATTTTCCAAGAATTTTAGTTCAGCTCGATATAAATAGATAAGAAATATATAGCTCGATATCATTAAACAAATGATATTTTATCTCGTTTGTTTAAAAATAATATTTTCCAATTTTTATTATTTCAATTCAATTCCAAAATCGTTACTAGTATTTGTATTCAATTGGCAAATGAATTCTGAATCTTATTTATATCTTATTGTATATCGTTTAAACATTTGATTAAATTAATTGCAGCAAAACATTTTAAGAGATTGACAAAACAAGTTATGTCGTAATAATAACAGTAACGCATGATTTTTTTCTGAAAGTGAAATTGATATAAACGTTTAGTTGATATTAACATTGCAAAAAAAAAAAAAGAAAAGAAAAAAAATTAGATTTAGAATAATTTTCTTGTTGTCATAATTATCGTCATGATTATTATTTTTTTTTTATGCTCGTTTGAACGAAAAACTTTTATCTTTAGCAAAAATAAAGTTTCAATAAAACATCTTTAAGTATCTTCGATAGAAATTTCGTTTTTACAATGATTAACTCGTATTCGACAATAACAAATGTTTTTTATTTTCCTTCCATATTTTAGTTAATATCATAATTGTTCAAAGTCATTACCGTATTATCACGAAGCCGTTTATTACGTAAGATTTCTTTGTGCAAAATAATATTTGCAATTCTGATTCAGACATCATCGTTTATTTAGAATTCATAGTCGATGAAAAAATAACATTGATTCGCTTCTTTAAATTGTTTGTTTAGAAACTTTATCCAAAGAAAAAGAAGAAAAAAAAAAAACTACCTGATACGTGACGCCTTTCTTCTCTCTTCTCTTTTCCTCCTCCGCATTCACTTCGATCTAAAAGGAGATTTATTATTCAGAATATTTTGCTGCATTTTTTTTTGAGTGTTATTTGTATTCGTATTAAAGATTTATGTAAGTAATAATTCTAATAAATAATACATCCTAAGCCACGAATCTTGATTTCTTATTTGCTTTTTTTCTTTTTTTTTTTTTCTTTCTTTTTAGCGTTTGAAAGTGATAACATGTAACTAGATTACGTAATGGAATAAGTCTCGTTTCTCGATAAGCATTTCATATCGTAAAATAGTTATAAGTAGAAGATTAAATTCATTAATTAATTTTATTAATTAATTATCCTTTCGAACGATCAGTGAATCAATATCTACTTAATAAAATTTAGAAACACGAATTACTCGATATAATTTCTCTCGAAAACTTTAAATATTAAATTTCGATTGTTTAAAAATTAGCACCTTCGAGTCGAACAGCGTTCAATTATTAAAAATTTATCTAAACATATCCGATAAGGCGGAAAAGCAAAATTATACAAAAAAAATATTTTTCAGATAATAAATTACCTTATCCAAATATTCTTCCACATGCCCATTTATTCCGTTTGCAACGCTCATTTTCATCTTCTTCCGATATTTTTCTTCTTCTTTTTTTTTTTTTTTTTTTTTTCACTATCGATTTTTACGATTTTCTTCCTATTCGGTCCTTCGATTCACCATTGTTCTGCAAATAGAAATTTTCGTTTTAAAACTTTGAATTTTCCTTTCCGTTTCAAAGGCTTGTTGTCAACACCCGATGATCGAACAATAGCAACATGATGCAACAAGATGAACGAATGAAAGTAATTAAGAATTCGTGAACGGATTAAGATGGAACGATTACTCGAATGAAAAATGGCAACAACAACTCGGCGATAATTTTTATGGCTGTGTGTACATGCGATCTTCGTACGATGATCTCACAAACAGCTCTACTCGATTATTCACCACCAACTGAACTACCATTTCTCAATCATAACGTTCTCTTAAACAGATCACACACACACGCACACACATACGCATATATATTCTTACCATGTGTAGCCAATTTTCTATACGGTTCCAAATGGTTCAAAACCTTCGAACACATTCTTGAAATCCATGCTCTACGTAAGAATATTTAATTAGTATAATAATCCGTGCTTATCGCATCTTATGATCTAGAGATGTCAAGAGATTAATTCGCGCGAAGATACGATTACGTGATTACTCAATTAACAATCGCGATTCTTTTAGCAAACAATTCGAGGACAAAAGGCAAGAAATGTGGCAAAAAATTTTTCTTTCTCAAATGTTTAGGAGATTAAGTTTATTTACCTCTGCGAAGAAGTGACTTTTCTCACGAGTTACAAAGCATCTAATGGTTCATAATCATCGTCAAATTCTTCGAGCATGTAATCACCCCACGTGTATATTTCCCACATTCCCAAGAAGAATGTCATCAGCCAGAAATCACTTAGGTAAACCAACAAGACCTTTTTCCACAGCACGCTGTTCTCTTGGCTCCAGTTGAACAAATTTTTATTTCCCAATTCCACTTCGCACAGATTCATCTCGAACGAGAATTACGCAAGGTGCGCAATCTGTAACGATCTTCCACGAGCGACCATTCCAACTTCGACCATCTATATAAAAATAATACACACGAGATCCCCCTTTATCCTCCTCTCCTTCGTTCCAAACTCGTTCCCCAAACGATCATTCCAGATCGACTGGAACAATAATACAAAAATATCACGAGATATCTCTCTCTCAAGATACCTCGCCTTCCCTCTTTCTTCTCCCTTCTCCTCCAACTCGCTTTCCTCTCGACCAAACTTCGCCAACCAAACTTGCAAACTTCCTTTCCTCTCGATTCGGTCATCAATCTATATCCCTTTCACCTCGGCCATGCGATTTTTTCCAACGCTCTCCTATCCTTCTACGGATACCACGATCTTTCCCTCTCGGTTCGAAATATTCGAAAAACACCTCGCGATCTTTCCTCTCGTCTATCCAATAATTCTTCTCCTTCTTCCTCTCTGGTTGCCCTCTCGAGAGGAAAGCGCGTGAAACGGTGCCGTGTAGAACAGTGTGGCCGTGGTTGTTGCAGCCGAGAGGACAGCCACGCGGAGACTCGTTATTCACCGAGTGCAAGTCCGGTTTTATCTGGTGACCGTGTGTACACCGGCCGAGACGCGGCTTCCTTCGTGATTCCAGATCGGTCGACTCTCACCATTCACATCCGCGGTGTATCGCTTCTTCTGTCGCCACGCGAACGAAATGACGTTTTATACATATATATACACATAAGGACCTGCCAATTCTCACGGAGAAAAAAAAAAGCGATTGCGCAAGGTGATTTCATCGGGCAGAGCGTATCGCGTGCAATCGGTCGGGCGTCACTCGATGACGCGGTAACAGGAGTCGGAGCAGCAGCTGTGGGTGCCCGCCGCTCCCTTCTTCTTCTTCTTTTCTCTCCTTTCTCGACCTTCCTCCCGGCTCAATTTTTAACTTTACTCTCGAGGTTTTTATTTAACGTGATATTTACGACGATGAAGAAGATCTCGATTTCTACAAGTTTTTTTTTCATTTTTCATTTTTTGCTTCGTTCATTCGAAGACGAAAATAGAAGTTCGGAGAATTGTCATGTCGCCGAGTTACGTTGGATAATTCGAATTATATTGTATTAGTGTTTTTTTTTAACAATAGGATTAGGATTCAAGTTTCGTATTCTCCTTTTCTTTTTTTTTTTTAAGCTTATGATGACTTTTACGTTTTTCCAAATAGGTTTTCATAATAGATAGAATTTGAATAGACGTTTTTTCCTTTTTTCTTTTTTTTTTTTTTTGAATAATAAATAAACTTCGATGAAAACGAAGTTAACCACTGATTTTAATATCAGAATTTTCCATCGTACATACGTAATGTATACATACATACGTCGCATACGTATGTGAGTCTAAGTTGAGAAAGACAATGCGAAGGTGTATAGGGGGAAAAGATTTTTCAAAGTCATCGAAGCGGAAACGGATGGTGGGACGACAACAATAATTATTGCGTTTAATCGAACAAGCGTTGGGAATCGATGCCATAGGTCAAACCGATTATTGTCTTAGTTAGGCTTTTCGTGGATCAGAGACGGTGACGATTGAAAGTGGGTTAAAACGATCTATTATTCGTTAACTCTTGTATGTATTCATATTCCTTTTCTCGGCCAAGTTGCATCTGTGCAATAGGATTAATTATTAATCCGCGACACGACACGCGAAAACTTCCCATCCGATTCATACAGGAAATTAATCTAGTTTCAAATTAATCCTCGGGGTTTAAGATTGGTAAGATGCATTTTTCTTACGAGATCTTTAAAAAAAAGAAAAAAATTGAAACCAATGTAACCAACCATGTATCATGGGTTTCGCACAGAAACGAAGAAAGATAACTCACCGACTCAATTGAAATTAATTGAGTCTGTAAACAAGCAGTTCTTCTCGTTCAGAGGCATAAATTGGATATTTTTCTTTCTTTGCACGAGTTGATGCATCGAATCGCTCATTTCTCACTTCTTGACAAATTTTCCAAGGAAAAATTCTAAACCTACCTCTTTCTTCTCCAGAGCTACGATCAATTTAAAGTCTCGTTTTAAATCATCCATCGATTTTTCCCCGTTCTCTCGAGCAAAGATGGGGATAAAAAAAAAAAAGAATGGTTACCTAACACTCGTGACTCTCCTCTTCATCTGTAACTTCTCCGATTCCGTAACGGAGCGAAAGTAAAGCCGAGGCTTACGTTCGCTATGACGGCCGAGCAATTATCGTTCCACCTGTGCGGTTGGATTTCATCTCCCGAAACACGTTCTCGTTTCAAGGCCAAGGACACAAGGCAAGTAGTAGAGGGAGGTCAGTGTTCGCCAGTGTCGATCTTCCTCCGCGTCAGCATGCTCCGCTTTTGACAGGAAATCGAAAAATAAGACGCTCGGTTTCTAAAAAACGCTCTGCTTTGCTGCATCCGCGAATATTATCCCGTGTTTCGCACGTGGATAAACCGAGGAAAATTTCGCCCTTAGTTTTTTTTTTTTTTTTTTTTTCCCTTTCATCCATAATAACGCCGTCTATACATTTCATCATTCCTATTTGATTCGTTGTCGTGTTGTAAGAATTTTCGAAAAGATAGGATTGGAGGGGGGACGAGAATTCGTTGTTTCATTTCGTCTTTCGTACGATCGTCGAAGCGTCGAAACATTTTGTTAATTTGAATGGAAAAGTATGTCGAATTTTATCAGTCGAATGGATGGAGAAAAATTATCTAGTTTCGGAGAAGAAGGATAAAGGAAATAATAATAATAATAATAACGAAGGGAATTTCTTTTTGATCAGTTTGATCGATTGAAAAAAATTATCCTGATCTTTGAGAATCGGGACATCGGAATATTGTTGTTGACGTGTGAGAATTTTTCTGTTCTCGATTTAATGCGTGAACACGATCGAGAGATTTCGATTTCATTTGCTTCTATTTCTTTTTTTGTAGACGGAAAACAAAGAGGAATGGTAACACTACACCTGTGCCCTTGGTATTTTTTGCACGCATCGTGTTTTATCGATCTAAGTATAGGTGTTCGTAATCAAATAGTACTTTGAAACTTTGAACGTGCAAATCATTCGCCACGTGTTCCTCGTCGTAGTGTAACTCGCGATCAGAACTCGATCGTTATTTCAATAATCTTTAATATAATATTTTGAAATTTTCCTTCGTAAAAACACGTATCATTTTGAAAAATGAAATATTAAAAACTTTCCTATTAATCTTATGTTAATTTTAAATAATTCAACATTTTAGAATGTGAAGAAAATTTGATTAATAAAAAAATATCGTGAAAATTATGTTATTTTGCAAATTTTTTGTTTCAAAAAATCTTCATATTATAAAAGAATGTTAACAAATTTATTTCTTATATATAATAAAATGGTTTTCCTATCATCATTTTATTTCGTAATAAATTTCTAATAACAAATATCTTCGACAAATGATTCATGCGCATTCTTAATATCTAATTTATATTTAATTTAAATAAAATAAAATTATAAAATTGATTATGCATTAATTTTTTTTCTTTCTCAATCAAAAATGAAAAATGGAAGCACTATTTCGAAAATAATAAAAATCTAATAAATTGTAAAAATTTTTATATTTAATTAATATTTTTTAATATTTATATATTAATTATATATTAAATTATATATTATATATATTATATAAATTAATTATTCTCCAATAGAATGAGCAACAAGATTCTTGAGAATTAATTCGTGATGCTAGACAAGGATAGCGGATAAAGAGATAAAAATACGAATAGAATAAAAATTTGGGAATTAGCGCCATCTCTAGAGTGCTATAAATGAAACAGGTATAGACAAAGAAAGTATATAGTGTGGAAAAAAGACAGGGATAAAATAAGAATTGACTACTAGCGCTATCTTTTGCATTTAAAAAAAAACATTTTTTTCATTATTTTACTTAATATTAATTATGGAATTTGATATACTCGTTTCATTCTGCAAAATCGAATTTATATATAAAATATATAACTATATAAATATATAAAAATATATGATCCCCGATGTATACAAAATTGATGTAAAAAAATTGATTTATTATATAATACATATATTCAAAAAATATATATTCTCCTATCATATATGTAAATATATATACTTATGATATAAGATAGTAAAATTAATTAAATCTTGCCAACATTTCTTGAGCGCATAAATTTGTAAAATAAATATAAACAAGGAAAGCAAATAGTAGGAAAAGGATAAAGATAGATGAAAAATTGTATGCTTTGCGCCATCTCCAGAGTAACGCGGATGGAACGTAGATAAAAACTATGAGAAATAATATAAGATTTGATAGTAAACGCCATCTCTTGATTGATAAAGACATTCTTTAGATAAAACAAACGCAAACTAAGATAAGAATTGAAAGCTAATGCCATTTTTTGAATGCTTTTAGAAAGATTCAGACATTAAACATTCAAAATGGCACTAATAATTTTTATTCTACTTTATTTTATTTATGAAGAAATGCTTGTGTTTTCCGTATAAGATGGCACTAATGATCCTGCTACTTACTTTCTTTATCTATGTGTGTTTCATTTATAAAAAAAAATTAATTACTCTATTATATATATTTTAGAAATGGCGCTGATTCCCAAATTTTTATTTCTATTCTCATTTTATTATTGTCTAGCTTATCATAAAAATGCTCTCAAGAATTTTTTTGTATTCTTTTTATGTAATTTTTATATTCTTTTGTTTTTTATATTTTCAATTTATTTTATATTCCGATCAAGTATCAATAACCTTTTTGATTTTTCATTTTCATTCTAGTAAGTTTAACACGAAAATAGTGATATTTTTAATATATTTGTTAGCGTTAAAGATGTCACTACTTTCTTTGTCCTTTCTAGTATTTTCTTATGTTTTGTATAACATTGGTATATATCGATTGTTAATTCTGACATGCTGAAAAAAATATTAAATAAGTATATAAGATTTTCTACTTTGCTTGTATAATACGTATATATAATATTTTTTTAATTAAAAATAAAATATGGCAGATGATGATTTTGATGGAGATGAGTAAGTAATATGTATATTTATTAAACATGATAGTAAATATTCTTTTTTTGTTATATATTTGTCCATTTACGTTATTGAATTTGCTTATTTTAATAACGTTAAATATATAATGAAAAATAATATATTTAATAATATATAAAATTAATTACTTTTTATATGATGACATATATGATGACATTGAAATTATTATATTTTTATTATTTAAAGGGTAGCAGATGATTTTGATGATGTGGATGATGATGATAACATTGAATTAGAACCACAAGAAGAAGATGGAGAAAATATAGAATTATTAGCAGCTGGAGAAGCTACTGGAGGAGTACAAAGATCTAAAAGAATTACAACAAGATATATGACAAAGTAAATATATAACATAAAAATTTTCGATCTTAAAAAAAATGAAAATATTTTTCTTATGTTTGTAGATATGAAAGAGCAAGAGTATTAGGGACTCGAGCATTACAAATAGCTATGTGTGCTCCTGTAATGGTAGAATTAGAAGGAGAAACTGATCCATTACAAATTGCAATGAAAGAATTGAAACAAAGAAAAATTCCAATTATAATTAGACGTTATTTACCTGATAATAGTTATGAAGATTGGGGTATAGATGAATTAATTATAATAGATCATTAAGTTTTAATTCATACATTTAAAATTGTAAATTTAAGATTATTTTTAATAAAATTTCAAAATTTATTACATCTATATCCATTATTTATCCTTATATATTTTAGCAGTCATATAAACATTCTATTTGTGAACATTATATAATTTTTAATAACATGCATTTAAAAAAAGGAAAAAAAATGCAATTTACAAATTATATATATATTTGCAATAGACTTAAATTAAAAAGGTTAGAAAGGTTAGAAAATATATTAATTTAAATAATAACTTAATAAAAATTTTAAACTTACGAATGTTAAATATTCTTTTATTACATTTTTATTAGAAATATGTTCAAATATTTATTAAAAAGATTACTAAACTAATTATAGTAAAATATGAAACCACGTAAATCGTTTTATCTTGAATCTTATCTATTCGATTTCAGATAATAGTAATAAAATTCTGAAATACGATATACGTTATTGCGATATTTCCCTAACTAATAATCATATTAATTTATTTTCATATAACGATTTTTACCAGTAAAGCATAATGTTATAAAATTTTTTAAATTGTAATAATAATATGACGTGGTAAGTAACTATCATTGATTATAATTATTTGTTAACCTTATAGTTAACAGTATTTCTAAATAATATTATAATATATTATTTAGGAATCCTTTAAGAAAAAATCATTTGACACAAAGGCCTACACCTGCACCACCTCTATTATCTCATTCAGAAGACAGAGAATTAGATATTGCAGTTCAAAAACTCATTTAGTATGTATATTTATTTTTAATATCTTATATTGTTATTGCTATTGTTTATATTCAAAATCTTGTTTTTTTTAGTATTGAAGATAGAATTAGGAAATTGACAAAGGAAATGAAAAGATATATAGAAGCTGTAATAAATTTAGATCGAGCGGATCAAAGATTAACATTAAACTTAACAACTTGTGGTTTAGCACATCTTAATGATGAATTCAGAAAAGTTGTGGAAAATTATCATTCTGTCACAACACAGGTAAATTTATAGATTATTCTTATTTCACTATAAAAGCATTTTAAAAATTTTGTATTTTTAATAGATTGGAAAAACTGTGCAAGAAATGGCAATTCTATGTCAAAAAACTTTTATAGAACCTTTAAAAAAATTACGAGATGAATTCATTTTAATAGCTGCAGCAATAACTAAACGAGAAGAATTGGTAACTACTTGGAAATATTCTTATAATCGTGTCAAAAAATTACAAGAAAAAAAAGATAAAACTGCTAATCATATCGCGAAATTAGAAAGAGAACGTAGGGCTGAAGAAACAGCTGCTAAGGAATTAAAAACTGTACATGCTCAATTACTTGTAGAATTACCAATGTTTTTAGACAAAAGATTAGAATACATTAAACCTAGCATACATGCCCTAATTATGATACAATTAGATTATTACGGAAGCACAACACACTTATTCACACATTTAATGCCAGTATCAAATGCTTTAGAATCACCATCTAGCGCTATGATACCTGAAAACGAATACCAACAAGCTATGGCCAATCAAATAAATAGAATAAGAGGTCTTACAATTGTTAAAGATCATTAAAAATTAAGAATTTTTCAAACGAATATTTTACAAAAATTACGAGAATTTAAATATATATATATATATGTGTGTATGTGTGTGTGTGTGTGTGTATAGGTATGAACGTATCATTTGTATTTATTACATGGCAGTATTTACAATTCAAATTGTAAAAATATAATTAAATTTATGATGGAATCATTCCTTGATTCGTTTAAACTGAGCACCAGAACGACGATTATGATTAGCATGTTTTGCTTTTCTAACATTTTTCTGCTGCCTGTTATATAAAACATCTTTTTTTTGCCCATGACCTTTAGGATTACCTACATATAAATAAAAGATATTATTTTAATATTATATTAATAAATACAAATGATTATATACATTACATTTAAATTTAATTTTATTAGATTATAAACAAATTATACCAATCACATTTGGTGCAAATCTACTATCTCGCATTTGCCTTCGTTGCTCCGCTTTAGCACGTAATTCTTCTGGATTTTGTACAAAGTCTTTTCCATTTTGATTATTCCTTACATCATCGTCATCATCATCATCATCATCATCTGATACTGATTCACTTACAGTTTCAACTTTTTGTCTGTCCCGAAGAATCTAAAATTGTTATTTATTCATTGTTATTAATTTTTATGTAATAAATTATAATATATTATGATATATTATATTATATTAATATTATTAAAATATATATATATATCTATATAAATACAAACTCTTGGTATAGTAAAAGGCCTATCTATTTCAGTAGTATCATCTTGAGTATTACCGCGTACATCGCGATTGTCATATGTATCATCATACTCGTCATCATAAACATCTGTGACAAGATCATAACTGTAAGAAATTTCGTTTTAGTTATATTAAGTTGTTTAAAGTAATATAATTTTATAAATGTTATCGAATATAATTATACGTTATTTACAAATAAATATTTTTTTATGGATTATATAAAATTCATAATAATTATCCTTAAATCCTTACTTTTTGATTATATAATCTTTAGATATATTTATAATTTCTTGAGTTTTAATATCATTATTATCATTATTATCATTATTATAATTATCAAGTATGTTCAACGTTTCAAAATTACAATCTAAATTTTCATTATTTAAAGTTTCCTAAAAGAATGATAAGATCATGTGTTATATACATTACTTAATGTTATTAATTTTTTTTATAATATAATAATAAAATATTCTTACTGTGCAAATTGGTGAAGCAGACATTTGTGAATGCCTTAAGTCTTTTAACTCTTTTAATTCTGTGGGTAAAGATTCTTCTAAAATTGCATTTATTAATGCTTCTGTATTATAATCATAATACTTCAAACTTATCTATAAAATCAATCTCATTAGATATATTTTCATAATAATTTTTTTATAATAAGACAATTACCTCAATGAAATATTCATCCAAATCATGTAATATATCTTTGACCTCACTAACAAGGGAAGCTAATTCAACAAAATTTTTTGTTATAGGTTTTTGTTTTTTATTTGAAGAATTTATATTTTCAGATATGGCTGTTTGACTTGAAATACCACTAGGTCCAGCTACAGCTTCCTATAAAAAAAATATTTTATAAAAATATTAACAAAATATATTTTATATAAATTACTGTATACTGTATACTTACACTTATATTAGAAAAAATATTTAATAAATCATTGGATTTACCAGTAATTGCATTGACTGATTGTACTATATAATTATAATTTATTTGGTCACTGAATATTTGTTAAAGAAAAATATTATAATAATATTACAGAAAAATTTTATAATATATTATTTTTATAATCATTATAATCATATTTACACTAAAAAAAAAGGATACGGATCGGAACAAAGAGTTGATAATATATTCAAATCTGATTTAATAGGATAAAATTGGTCATAATCTGTAACGAATTCTTTTTCAGAAATTACAGAACTTAATAAATCAAGATATTCATCCACTTGTTTCTTAATTTCTTCTTCTTTTATAGTATTTCTAGATATAATGTTATAATTATATTACATAAAAAATATAATATGAGCAAGAGAGAGAGAGAGAGAGAGAGAGAGAGAGAGAGAGAGAGAGAGAGAGAGAGAGAGAGAGAGAGAGAGTAGAGAGTAGTAAGT